GAAATGTATTGTAGTAAACTCATGACACGAACATATTATAGTTCCCTGCTCAAGTATAATACGCTAGCTTTTGCAAGTATAGTTCCCTGCGTACGCATAATACGCTAGCTATTATTACCTCCGCCAAGGGGTTGGGACGAGGTTATGTTTTCACCGGCGTGTGTTTTTTGGTTTGTGGGTTTGTGGGTTTGTGGCTTTGTTTGTGTACAGCCTAACAGAAAAAGTTATGAACGGATTGTCATAAAATTTTCAGGATAGGTCAGAAATGGGCTAACTTAGAATTGATGAGATTTTGGTGGTGATCCGGATCTAATTAATTAATTGATTAATAACATGTTCAGGATAGGTCAGAAATGGGGTAACTTAGAATTGATTACATTTTGGTGGTGATCCGGATCCAATTAATTAAATTGTCAGGATACGTCAGAAACAGGAGTAGTAGTAGCAGTAGCAACAGTAGTATACGGTGCTGCAGCGCACGCGCGGGCTCGGCGACGGAGAGCCGTCTATGAAACAGAGCGCCTAGGCCGCCGGCGTGAAATCTGGACGATATCCGTATGTCCCTGAGATCAACGTGGATTGACCAGTATCAAACGCCAGGATGGTAAATGCGCGTAACGGCGATATGCAGAGGCTAGCATGCGGCAGTAAGGAGGGACGAGGAAGAGTATAATACGACTGGCGAGCGGCCATGTTGTGTTGTACGCACGCTGTGCAGCTCACTGAGCGTTCAGCACACACAGACCGGAACGAGCCCGGCACACCACGCCCGCAACGTGCAGCTAGCGAGGCCTGCTGACCTACAGCTGAGTTAATATACGTGCGTATTTGCTCGGGCGTCTGCGCCAAGGCGACACGATGCTCCCCGTCAATCCACCACATACATAGCAATAACTATAGATAAGCCTCTATATATATGCGTCGGTCGTATACGGCCGTCTATAGGCTGCGTACGAAGTGGTATCTGGAATCTAGACCGACGAACGGTCACGCGGATGGGCACCGGCTGGTGTGTTATAGTGAGTGTTGGATATCAGCCTAAGATTCTGGCACGTGCAGCAACTAGATCTTTAGTAGGCGAGTTTGTGAAAAACAAGACACGTGCTTGTGGCCTGGTACGCGCCGCGTCGGCGCTGGCTGGCGTGATGTGCGTCCTCGGCGCGTGTATGTAGGTGCAAGTATTATGTGTATGGAGTGTAACGGTGTAACGAGAATATTTGCGTTAGAATGCGATTGCGATAGATGCGTGTGGACTGGCGTGACGTGAGCGGGCGGTGCGCACGATAGAGCATCGAGCTGCCTATGAGCGCGTGGAGCGAGGTCGTCATCGGCCAGTCTCTTTCATCGCAGCATTCGAGCTTCGCTCTAGTCGTCCTCACAACATTGCTATCGTTGTTTCAAAACAACAAGAACTGAGATAAATGAAAAAATGGACTGAGCAAATATCAAAAAGCGTTGCCCCGAATAAATTTCGCAAGGTGTCCGCAGTTAGTTTTGGCCATCGCATGACTATACAAGCCCTGTCACACGAGAACTAGTACGGGTAATCTACACCTTGCCCGTATGTGAGGATGACAGGAGAAAACTAGAACTCCATCGCAGAACTCAATAGCAGCGAAAATATGTCATGTGCTCACGCCTCGTGTATTTTAGACATATTTTTATTTAACACACAGATGTTTTTAACAGACTTTCGCATTAATAAATAAGTCGCACTTGAGGAAATAACTTGAAAACGTCAGCGTAGAAAACGCTGTTTTTTACGCTATAAGTAATATAAATACTATTATACGGGTAATTATGTGTACGTTTGTACGCGTTGCGTTCGTGTGTTTTCAGTGCGTGCGTCGGCGCGGGTTCGTGTAATTGAAAGTGGAAAATCTCTCCTTGTCTAGCGTATGGCTTGAACGCGTGCGCTGGCAGATGTAAGACGATTTTTCCACCATCTGGTAGAGTGGGCTCACAGAAACGAGCTTACCGCCACCTGTCGCGGCCACTAACACACTGCCGGCCGCAGCCAACACGCGCCACCGACACCTCACCTCGAATTTAGGCGTGCGCTGTCTGCATCAGCCGGTGCTGCTCTGGCCTTCTGTGGTATTTATAGCCAATTCATGTCGATGACAATTCGGCATCTGCTGTCGTCTCAAACTTGGCAATGCGCTTTAGAAGGAAATGCACTTAATGTTGAACTTGCCAGATTTATTCATAAATAGATAAGCTCTAGCAGCGCGCGCACCATGAACATGTGAGGCGTCGAGTTGACAAGGATTTTGTCAATAAATAAAATGCGGGATAAAGTGCACAGATAATGACAGGTAGGCTCGAAATAAGACAGGGCCTAAACATGTGCTGCGAGCGCATAATCAATCACAGACGCACAGCAAACTGTACTGACAATATGCACGCGCATCACAATCTCTACAAAACATACAAACGTAC